ACGGCTCCGGCGGCAGGGGAATCATCCCTTCCCACTCGTACACGCCGAGGACGCACAGCCAGAACTTGCCCCAGGTCGGGGTGGCACTCGCGCTTCCCAGTCGATGCAGGGTGTTGCGCGCCCTTGCCATCGCTGGATGCTCCGGCCCCAAGCCCAGGATCCTCAACATGCAATAGTTCATCACCGTCCCAAAGACGGTCGACGGGGACTGAATGAACAGGCCCCATCCGCCGTCCTCGTTGACCACGTTGAGTAAGTACCGGCACATTTCCTGCTTCATGTGGGAGTCAATAGGGATCCCCACGATGTACCTCGCGATGACCATCCCACTGGTGACGAACAGGGGGCCGTCATCGTTGCATCCCCAGTGCCCATCGGCTGTCTGCAGGCGTTTGAAGAATTCCCATCCGTTTTCCACGGCCTCCAGGGCGCGGGTAGCGCGAGGCCGCGCGGGGAGTTCATACGGTAGACCCAGCCAGTACTTTTCCAGGATGCTTTGCGGTCGTTTTCTGGCTTCGTCCTCGGACTCTAGATACTCCCACATGTGCCGGCCATTGTCGACGTTGAGCCGCCATCGCGATAGATTGGTACCGAATTCGCTGGCGGCTTTGGTGTTGGAGAATTCGGCCTTGCCGATGACTGTCGCAGGCATGCTGCTGTCTGTAGTCATGGTTAAAGGCAAGAGCTCCGTTACTACTGCTGTGGGCCTTACAAGAAGGACTTTATACTGAACTATCTGTACCGTGGCAAGACTGCAAATAATCTGTATTACCAGACTGGTCTTTTTAGTTTACTTTACGCTTTATTTCTTACATTATTTTCAAAAAATAAAAATAGAAACCTCCGAAACAGGCAGTACGACAAAAACGAGGGGGGTGACTCCGTTGCCTAAAAGCCGAGCCTTCTGCATGCTCGCCCCTATGCACGAGGAACGCCTCTGCCTGCTTCGCAGTCAACTGATTCTGACCTCTAACTCGTCCTGGTCATTCTCCAGATGCCTACGGACTTTAGAAAACAAGGCGTGGTATGCGCCTTTCCCACTTCAGGTTTCTAACGTGTCAATCATGCCATTTGACCAGCCACCCGCTCCACTTCTCTAAACTCGTTACATTTCACAAGACTAGCAAGAAGAATACTCTCTAGCGCATGCTTTCACTCGATCCTCCTGGTAATCACCATCCGACAGTCCCTCTCTGGCTTGGCCGGGAAGGACGCAATGAAGCACTTGGCGGGCATGAGAACCGGCAGCCCATTTTCATCTGTGCAATGCGGCCCAAATCGGCTATCTTCGGTCAGCGCAATGTCGTAGTCCTTGAGGACATTGGCGACAATGGTGAGCATTTCCACCCAGGCAAGGTTACGTCCAAGGCAGTTCCGCGGACCATAGGAAAAGGTGAAGAGCAACCGCTTGTTGTTCTCGCTATCAAGGAATCGATCCGGGTTGAACCGCGCTGGGTCGTCCCAGAGACTAGGATGCATGCTCGGCGAGCGCAGATTGACGTAGATTTCTGTCCCGGGCGGAATGTAATGTCCCTGCAGGGTGATGCCCGTAGAATGGGAAATTCGCGGGGTCAGTCCGGCCGTGGTGGGCGAGTGCCGAAGAGCCTCGTACACGCAGGCTTCGACATACGGCAAGCTGCTCCGCACGTCCTTGTGTGTCACCAAGTGGCTCAAGGAAAAGGTGCTGCGCACCTCGTGGACGGCGCGCCTGAGAGTCTCTGGGTAGAGCAGCAGCAGGTGGAATGTCCACATGATGGCAGATGAGGTGGTCTCGCTCCCCGCCAGCATCATCATGATACTCTCGGCCTGCACCTCATGCGGGCTCATCTTGACTTTAGACTCGGGGTCCTCCGCGTCGATAAACGCCTGCAGCATGTCCAAGGGCTTTTCCGTGGAGTCGTCAGCCAGCAACTGCTTGCGCATGTCGACAGCGTCGCTGCTGAACGCCGCCAGCTCGCGATACATGATTTTCCACGGCCGCATAATGAGCGAGAATGGCAGGAGCGACAGCAGGGCCAGGACGACGGGCGACTCCAGCATCTCCATGATCAACCCGGCCCATTTCATGATTGACGAGCTACCGCGGGAGATGGCGTTGAAGTTGCGCCCGAACGCCAGCGCACTCATGATGTCGAACGTCACGAGCTGGGTGTCAGTGCGGTAGTTGACCTCGGTTGGGCGCCCGCTGTTCGCTCCTATTAACGCGTCCCATTTCGTGCGGATGGCCTGGTATCCATGCTGGAGGATCAGAGGCTCTGCGCGTCCCAGATAAGCGTAGTTGAAGAAGGGACCTAGCTGCCGCCGGCGACGGTTGGCCAGCTCTGGCTCCCTAAGCGAGACGATATTGGGTGTGTTGCCGTCGTTGAAGATGTCAAAGAAGGCGGCCTTGCGAAACTCCTGGGAGCCTAGCACGGCGCGGATGTCGTCTGGGTGATTGATGCATACCGCACGGGGTTTGTAGACATATACATCGCCGTACCTGGCCACGTCTTTGTCGACGGTCTGGGTCACCTTCCCGGAGAAAGTGTCGACATTGGCGCGTTTGGTGGTCAGTCGGGCCAGAAGGGGCCCAGGAATGGAACAGAGGGGAGAGAGGAAATAGGCGTCAATCAGTCGATAGGTGAGGGCTCCAATGAAGATTGCCGCGAGCACTTGGAGTACGCTGATTGCGTTCAGAAAGGGCTGAAGCTCAGCGACTCTGATCATTGTGGAAGTAATAGTCTTCTCCCCCTGAAACAGTATGAATCAGAGCATTATAGAGGGAACCTGTCGTAGAATTGTGTTTATCTCGCCTGTGCCTCTTTGGTTCAAACATGGGACCAGGCGAGGCGTCAGGAACTGGCCTGATAGCATATGTTCGTATACAGATACATACTAGGGTCAACAATCCCATGTCGTATTGAGACTGGCTGCAGGCATCTAGATCGTGCACGAACGCATATGACAGACAGATTGAAAATTTCGATCAAGTATTTTGACTAGTATTTCTAACCCCTGGGCCACTGTGGAGATCATCCAGGGTCATCATTTTAAATATAAAGGTTATTGGTCAATTGCAGGATCGGCATCGTATTCAGCCGGAGAGGAGAAACCCGTGGCTATTTCATGTTCTTTTTCCAGATAGAGGCAAAACACCCACATGTTTACTTCAATTCCTTGTCAAAAGCGATGTCACCTTTGGTGGAACACGCAGATGCAAGCCTCTGTATCAGGAAATAGAAGGACACAGAGAGACAGTATCACATGTGATAGGCGCATGAGGCCACGCACCCAATGCAAGGGAAGTGAACCATCCCAATCCCACCGATAGACAAGAAGAGGGGTAATCCAGGATATACCAAAAAAGGGTAAATGAAGCGACGAGGACCTTTGCACAGCACTCTTATCTCTTTTGCGGATGAATCACCCTTGCCTCTCCTCGGACACGCGCTGAGACACTATGGCCCTTCCTATTATTCTCTGCCTAGTTGTCATCTTGTGGACTTCCTGGCGCCTGCTGGACGCCTTGTTCCTGTCTCCCCTTCACCGGGTTCCGGGACCGGTTCTTGCACGCTTCACCCCCCTTCGAGCAATCTATGCCCGCCTCCCCAGCCGGGTCATCCCCGCAGCCCTGGCCGACTTCCATACCTATGGGGACATCTACCTCTCCAAACCGCGGACCATAACAATCAGTCATCCCCGGGATGTGCGGGCCATCCTCGCGTCTTCCGAGTTTCAAAAGATTGACGTCTATCATGGCCTTAATGACCCTGTCATGGCGAATATCGTCACTTTCAGTGACCCCAAGCTCGCTAGTCGACGGCGCCGGCAGATCGGGCCGTACTTCAATCCCAGCTATCTGGCAAAAATGGAAGAGCTGATTCTGCGGAGCGGCTGCCGGGCTGTGGCGGACAAGTGGGATCGACTGATTGCTCAACAGGGCCATGGCCCAGAGAAAGCAGTGAAGGTGAACTACCGCCACGACCTGCAGCTGGCCACCTTTGATATTATGAGTGCGCTGGCATTTGGCCGGCGGCTGGACTCGCTGAAGGAAGAAGGGGAGAGTGTGGCGATCGTGGAGTGGATCATGGCGACAGCCGTCTATATCGGCGTGCGGATCAATTTCCGGCTGCTCATGGTGTTTCCCTTCTCGCGGCTGGTGCGGCGCTGGACCAGGGCATATTCGGAGTTTGTTCAATTTGGCAAGCACGCAGTGGCCAGTCGCAAGGAGCTGTTGGCACAAGGATGCCAGAAGCCCGTCGATCTGCTCCAGGCATTTATTGATGCAGAAGACCCCGACTCCAAGGTCAAGATGACGGCCGTGGAGGTGCAGGCCGAGAGCGTGGGCATGCAACTGGCTGGGAGTGAGACGACGGCCGCCTCGCTGACCTGGGTGGTGCATTTATTTACCTTGTATCCCGAGTATTATCGGATGGCTGTGGATGAGGTGCGTGGGCAGTTTGGTCCTGACCATTTGATCACCTATGCAGACTGTAATCGGCTGGTCTTTCTCGAGGCTTTTGTCTATGAGATGCTGCGGTACACGCCCATTACATCGAGTTTCATGCCTCGGGTTTCCTTCAGCAATGGGACCACCTTGCAGGGGCACTATATCCCCCCGGGCACCGAGATAGCATTCAACCTCATCGCTATGAATAACCGCGAGGACGTCTGGGAGGAACCGGAGAGGTTTCTGCCGGACCGGTTCCTGAAGGATCCCGATCTGAAGCGGAGTATCTTTGCCTTTTCGTATGGGACGCGCAGCTGTATAGGGCGCCATCTGGCATGGATGGAGATGATGACCGTTCTGGCGAATCTGCTAAAGGACTACGATTGGAGTTTACCAGAAGGCAGTCTGTACGGACCGCATCATGTAGACGAGCAGGGGAACCCCATTCGCATGCCGTCCAAGTGCCATATAGTGTTTGCGCCTACGCATCCGGACCGGGACTGTCAATTAGTGATAAGCCGGCCAAAGACCTAGAGTAGTTGGAATATGACGCGAAGACAAATAAGTTATTCTACGTATATCCATCATGTATTTTGATCCCCTCCACCGCATCCAAGTACAGGACCTTCCCATACAGCTCCTCATCCTCCACACACCGCACCACCGCGTCCGCCACTTCCTGCGGCTGCAACCTCTTCAACCCCATTGCCCGCATCTCCTCCTCGGGCGTATACCCTGGCCCCGTACGGTCCGTCTCCACCCGCATGCGATTCTTGTCAAAGCCCGTTGCAATCGCGGTCGGCGCCACCGCATTCACCCTCACGCGCGGATGAAACGCCCCAGCCGCAAAGGTAAACATGGCGGCGCCGGCCTTGGCCGCTCCGTACGGTGCGATGCTCGCATACGTCTTGAACGACGACGAGGAGGTCACGCTGACCACGCATCCGGCCTGGCCCTGGTCAAGCCCATCCCAGTATTTGATAGCCTGCTGGGTTGCGTAAATGGGCGCCGTTAGATTGACGGTGATCATATCCTGGATGTCCTGCGCGGAGAGCGCAAGGAACGGCGCGCGGAGGTACCCCGCGTTGTTGATCAGCACGGAAAACCCGCCCATGGTCTCGATGGTGAAGGAGAGGAGGGCATCGATTTCCCGTAGATTGGAGAGATCGCAGGGGAAGAAGGCGGCAGTGCCCTCGCCGTGAGTGAGGTTGAGCTTGGAAGCAGCGGCGGGGCCCTTTTCGGTGTCGATGTCGCTGAGCACGATGCGATAGTTGCGCTGGGCGAGGGCTTCAGCGATGCAGAGGCCCACGCCTTGGGCGGCGCCGGTGATGATGGCTGTGTTCATGGTCGGTCTGAGCTGAATACTATGAACAGGAAGTGGGATGTGGTGGAAGAGAGATTGAAAGAACAAACTGGAATAATAATTACAGATAGTACGGCTTGTTTCAAACCGTGTCTTATGCAAAAGCTTACCGAGGCCACCCAATGTGACTTAGGTTAATGACCTCTTAAGAGTCATCTGCTATCGAACTGTTCCTTATTACTTCTCTCACTGAACATTCTATCTTCCCTGTTCCCTTTCACAACACTCTGCTCAGTGCTAGTCAGTCCAGTCAGTCAGTCACTTCATGACACAATGGCCGCCGCCAGCCTCATCTCCATCCTTTTCGCTGTCCTCGCCCTCCGGCTTTGCTACCTGCTCATCCATGCTCTGTTTCTCTCTCCTCTCCGCCATATCCCCGCCCCGTTCATGGCCCGGGTGACATCGAAACGCCCCCTCTGGCATCTTCTCACTGGCAAGGCGGAAACCGCAGCGCGCCAGGACTATTCCACCTTTGGGGACATCTACCTCTGCAAGCCCAACACAGTGTACCTATGCGACCCCCACGATGCCTGTACAGTGCTCAGCTCGCACGCATTCCGCAAAACGGACATGTACCGGGTGTTTGAATACGAGGGCATCCCGAACGTATCCACCTTTACTGATCCGGCCGAGGCGCAGCGCCGTCGGCGACAACTGCACCCATTCTTCAACAATGCGTATCTAACACAGATGGAGCCAGTCATGCTGCAATACGGGGTCCAGGCTCTGAAAGCGCGCTGGGATGCCCAGCTGGCAAAGCACAAGAAGGTGGAGGTGAATTACCGGTACGATACCCAACTGGCCATGTTTGACATCACCGGCGCGCTCGTGTTTGGGCGCGAGTTCCACGCCCTCCAGACGAGCAATCTCGTGTATACGAAATGGGTCAACAATACGCTGTCGTACATGCTAGTGAGCCACTACTTCCCGTGGGTCAAGCGGGTCCCATTGTCCTGGTTGGTGAGGGGTCTGAAACAGTCATACGATGACCTAGTGGCCTTTAGCCAGGAGTCGATTGCCATCCGCCAGGCAGACCTGCGGGCGGGGCGTCCGAAGCCAGCGGACCTGCTGCAGGCGCTCCTCGACGCGGAAGATCCAGATTCCAAGGCCCCTATGACCGCGCGCGAGGTGCAGGCGGAGAGCATCGCCATGCTGGTTGGAGGCAGCGAGTCGACCTCCTCTGTCATCTCCTGGGTGATCCACTTTCTTTTGCTCTACCCGGAGCATCTTCAAGCGGTTGTGGCCGAGACTCGCGCCAACTTCCCCGCGAATCACACCATCACATTCAACGAGAGCAAGGCCAAACTCCCCTATCTCGAGGCCTGCATCTACGAGACTCTGCGTTGTATCCCGACGGCGAGCACCTCCTTTCCCCGTGTCTCAGACCAGCCTATCACCCTGAAGGGTTACTACATCCCTGCAGGCACAGAAATCGCCACTAACAAGTGCGCGGCCCATCTGCACCGGCCCTCCTGGGAGGATCCAGACCGGTTTTATCCTCCGCGTTTTCTCAAACAGGAGACATACCACGAAACCCGGCGGAATATGCTCTCGTTTGCCTACGGGACGCGGTTCTGCATTGGCCGCAATCTGGCCTGGGCGGTAATGATGGTGACGCTAGCTAATCTGTTCAAGAATTACGAGGTGGAGTTACCTGAGGACAGTCGCTTTGGGCCCACTATCGTCGATGCAGCGGGGAGGCCGAAGGTAATGCCCACGAAGATGGGGGTGGCCACCATGCCTGCAGATCCTGAGAGGGATTGTCGAATGATATTGTCAGCGAGAATTACAGAGTGATGTATTTTGCAGCCTGCAGTTTTAGGTTAGGGATCGACAAACAAGAAATGTGGCTATCTGAACGGAATGCTACCTTAACCTCATTCTGCAAATCTTGTCTGTGGAGCATAAACTGTAAATTACTGGCGGATACGAGCACAGGCCCTAATCGAGGTCTAGCCTGGCTTGGCTGCATATACGGGTTCGGAGCTAGCACTTGAAGAGCAATACATAAGTACGTATCGGGTAAAAGAACGGGTCTTCGTGATATTCGTATTCATGCAACAGCGAGACATTGCGGCACGAAGGTGGGCCGTCTTCGTTGCTTTCATCAATTTACCAAAGGCAGTTCCAGAGACCTGACTGCGAGATGTTGCGAACATTGATGCCTATGTCAGCTTGTCGCTCTCAATGAATGAAGAGTGCCCTGTCACCATGGAGTCAATCCCCCTCTCCCCGTTCGACCTACAAGGCTCCTTCTCCAACATCCCCTACGCCTTCTTCTACGAGAACACGCAGTCTGAGAATGACTTTATGCCCTCTGACCTCCTCAAGGGCTCGTTATGGGCTAGTCTTAAGCAATTCCCCATCCTGACAGGCCGTCTGCGGGCCAGGAGCACCGGGCACATCGTCGTCGAGGTCGACGCAGATAATCCCAACCAGCCCAATATCCGGGAGACGCTCTGCGACTCCGTCCACTGGTCGCAGCTCAAGGAGGCCAGTTTTTCCTGGGATGCGTGGCCGGCGGGCGTCGCGACCGTGGGACCTGTAGCCACTGCTGCGGCGGATGGGGAAATCAAACTGCTGAATATCCATGTAATGCGACTAGCACAGAACAGCGGGGTGATTCTCTTTATCAACATCCCCCATTACGTGGTGGACGGGGTGGGATATTTTGCTTTTATCAATCACTGGGCGGAGACGATGAGGAAGCAGCAGGAGCAGCAGGAGCAGCAGCAGCAGCAGGAGGAGGAGGAGGAGACTAAAAGTGAATTCAGCTTTGATCGTGGCATCATTCAGAGGTACTTGCCTGTGGAGCGAACTCCGTTGGATCCCCTCACGGAGTCGATCTACGGTCAGCGGAATCTGCTCGTCGATTGGCTTGCATGGCTCTCCCCAACGACGCTGGGAGGTCTACTCTCCAAGACCGCCGGCATGGCACGGGGTGAGGCTCATCTATTTCGTATCTCTCGAGCCTCTCTCGACCAGGTCCACAAAGCCGTGCAGCCGTATATCCCCCCCAGCACCCGTCTCTCGGACAACGACCTGCTCGTTGCGCTCATCAGCAAAGCCTACATCCAAAGTCAGCCCCAGCCGGAGCCTCCCGCGGGCTTTCTGAGCTGGCTCCGCCCTGGCCAGGGACAACCCGAAACCCACTGCACGGTGCGCGTCCCCTGCGATGTCCGCCGCCATCTGAACGTACGGGAGATATACACCGGGAATCTCCTCCTGGGGATGATGGTACGGACGCCGCTCGCTGAGCTCGCTCGTCCGACCTCCTCAGAGACTCTTGCGACGGCGGCGCTGAATGTCCGGCAGTCGATCGAGCGCGTGCAGCCGGGTCTGGTGGCCGCGTACCATGACCTGATCCGGGCGAATCCCACGAGCCATATGCGACCGTTGGCGTTCACAGCGACGCGCACGACGACCTCGCTTGTGACGACAAGCCAGGTGCGGTTCCCGATGTACGAGGCGGATTTTGGCGGTGGGAGGCCGTGCTTTGTGTGTTTGACGCCGGTGTTTGCGGGGAGCTATACCATGGCGGCGATTTTGCCGACGCCAGAGGGGAGGGAGGGAGGGGTGTATGTACTTCTGACGAGTAACGTAGAGGCTATGCAGGGGATCAAGAAGGATAAGTACTGGAATGAGCTGGTAGAGATAATTTGGTAGGACTGCACAGCAGTTTGACTTGAATATCCATTTTGAAGATATATATTCTAGTACGGGTAAGCAATGCAATGATTAAGACATTTGACCAATGTGCCCTAAGTCCGTCTCCTTATTAATATCTTTCTCCTCCCCTCACCTCTTTATTCCTCACAGACCGCATCTTCCCTATCAAACTGCAAAATGATAGAAATCCTCCGTTTTATCCCCCTCGTTCTACTCCTCAGCCTCACCTGGAGAATTACCTACGAGCTCTTCTTCTCCCCCCTTCGCCATATCCCCGGCTCTCGCCTAGCCCGCCTCTCCAGTAAATACTCCATCCTCAAACGAGTCCTCTCTGACGGCCCCCGATCCGTACAAGCCGACTACCAGCGCTACGGGAACATCTACGTCCATCGCCCGAATGGCGTCAGCATCAGCCACCCCGACGATATCCGCACCGTGCTGCTGTCGCCGGAATTCCGCAAGACAAAGGTCTACGAGATGCTCGACATTGAAGGGCACGCAAGCATCTTCACAACGCGGGACCCCGCGCAGGCGAGTCGTCGACGACGCCAGATCGGCCCGTATCTGAACCATGGGTATCTGGGGCGCATGGAGGGGTTGATTATGAAGTACAGCGTGCTTGCCATTAAGAGCAAGTGGGATAGACTGTTGGAGGAGAGTGGCAGACAGCAGGTTACGGTCAACTACCGCGATCATACGCAGTATGCGACGTTTGATACGATCGGGGCCCTGGCATTTGGGAGGGAGTTCAATGCGCTGAAGAATGATGATCAGACGGTTATCCGGTGGATTGAGGCCACCGGGTTGTACCTGGGAATTCGGAAGAATTTTCCTCTCCTCAAGGTGTGGCCATTTTCCAGGGTGTTGCGCCAGTATCGCGAGCGGTACGAGCGGTTTATTGCTTATAGCAAGGAATCGGTGACGAGGCGAAAGAATCTGTTATCCTCTGCGGGAGAAGGACCGATGGATCTCCTGCAGGCGTTCATCGATGCGGAAGATCCAGAGAATCCCCGCGTGAAGATGACGGCGGACGAGGTGATGACGGAAAGCATCGCGATGCAGCTCGCCGGCAGCGAGTCCACCTCCTTTGTGACCTCGTGGGTGATCCATCTCCTGACGCTGTATCCTCAGCACCTGGCCAAGGTCACCGAGGAGGTCCGCAGCCAGTTCTCTCCCTCCCATCTGATCACTTTCGCCGAGTGCCGCGACAACCTCCCCTACCTGGAGGCGTGCGTCTACGAAACCCTGCGATACTCCCCGATCACCTCGGGCTTTTTGCCTCGCGTCTCCTACACAAAAGGCCTCACCATCCAGGGACACTACATCCCCCCAGGGGTGGAGGTTGCTATCAACCTCCATGGGGCGCACATCAACAAAGACGTGTGGACAAATCCGCATCTCTATGACCCCACGCGGTTTCTAGGCGATGAGCAGGCCAAGCGGAATGTATTTGCCTTTTCCTACGGTCACCGCAACTGCATTGGGCGTAATCTCGCAATGATGGAGATTATGATCATCATTGCGAATCTCCTCAAGGAGTATGACATTGCACTGCCCGAGGATAGTGTGCATGGGCCGTGGAATGTGGATGCCCTGGGGAGGCCAAGGATCATGCCCACGCGCAGTGCGTTGTTCACAACGCCCAAGTATCCAGAGCGGGATTGTCGGTTGGTCGTGTCTCACAGGCAGTAACTGATACCAGATGTGCCGAGTCTTGGTTAGTTGTTCTTTAGCTTTCCTCGTATAAGTTGAAGCCAAGTATGCAATTTGCGATGCGATGTAACCTTCGCCACAGGGCCAAGACCTAATGGATCAATTAACGATTGTCTTTCTGAGGATCTTCAAATAGTAATTTACAGAAGTCATTACGCAGCAGCAGCTTGTGTAAATCAAGCAGGCTAAGAAGCAAGGAAGACTAGTCTGTGGGTCAGTCTAGATGAGGGGGAATACGAAGCATACCCCAATGAAGAGAAGATAGCTGCTAAGAACACAAAAAGAATACAACAGTGAAAGAACTGGTCTTGTATTTGGAATTTCGGCTGTATTATATCATTCTCCCACCAGAGCTAAAGCAAGTGCAGCAGAAAACAAGATGGAAGACCTCAACATATCAAACCACGTCTATGATCTCTCTCCCCTTGACATCATCCCCAGTCACCTTTACATCACCAATGTCTTTTTCTACGAGAACAAAAGCCCCGGCCCCGGGCTGTTCATGCAATCCTCCCTCCTCAAGGAGTCATTGTATCGTGCCCTGCAGAACTTCCCAATTCTTCTCGGCCATGTGCGCCGTCACGGCCGCAATGCAATGCAGATTGTTGTTGACCGCGATAATCTAAACCTCCCGCTCTACCAAGAGCAGACACACCCGCACCTTCATTTCCGGCATCTGAAGGACAACGGGTTCCATCGTGATGTGTGGCCCAAAGACGCCAATGTCGTTGATCCGCGTGCGTCCCCCAATGGAGAATTGATCCAAGTGCATGTCCATCGACTGGCCGAGGAGAGCGGCGTGGTGATGGTGGTGCGTATAGCCCATTGCGCGGTGGACGCCAAGGGGTTTGTGGACTTTTTGCAGTCCTGGGGATGGTCTGCTAGGAACTACAGTCACCCCGAGGGCGAGAGCAGGCCTCTTCTGCTGATGGACCGTCGGGTGATGTACGAGTACCTTCCTGCGGATGTACAGCCAGCTCCTCCTCGCTCGATGTGGCATCCTGCATCATGGCTGCTAGGGCTATTATCAACGCTAGTGGTCCTCTTCCTCGGACTCTATAAACGCTTCCTCGGCGACAAAACCCCCGCGGACGAGATCGAGAGCCATCTCTTTTCCGTCTCCCGACACACCCTGGACCGTCTGCGCGATACAGCCACCCGCATCGACCCGTCCTCTCGCGTTTCTGATCATGATATCATCACCGCGCTCTTCACCCTCGCCTTCGCACACACCAAGCACCTGCTCACCCGCCGGACGCAGACCGTCAAGGCCATCGTCCCCTGCGACTTTCGCCACCGCATTGGTGTCCCGAGCAACTACACAGGCAGTTGCGCAATCGGCCTGTACGTCTCCATCCCGGGGTCCCTCCTCCAAACCCCGCTCACCGCGGAATCCGTCGCGCGAGCAGCCCTCCTGTCGCGAGCAGTCGTGGATACAGCCAATAGAGCCACTATTCAGACATTCATCCGGCGGGCGCTGCGGGCTATCGCTTTTGTGGGTGACAAGGCAAACATGCTGTATGCGATGATGGTGTCGCAGGCGTTTTCGAATCAGTCGAGACTGGGGTTTTACGAGGTGGATTTTGGAGCTGGGGGACCGGTGATGGTTGCGCCGATGGCGTATTCGAATACGGTTGCGGTGATTTGCCCTGCGCCTGGGCCTGGAGGGGATGGTGTCGGTGTCCGGGTGTTTTTGACGTTGAGGCCGGGAGTGATGCGGGTGTTGTTGGCGAAGGGGTTTTTGGACGAATTCACGGACATGGTATATTAGATTGCCGCTATGCTAAGATATTGCGATACTATACATGCTCAGAAGAGATATGGTCCATTGCTATAAAAGCAAACGTCATCGCCGGTCCTAATGTAGCCCCTGCCCCTGGGTATGTCCGTCCCATCACGCTGGCAGTCGTGTTGCCGGCCGCATACAGCCCCTGCACAGGCGTCCCATCCTCTCTGATCACCCGGGCATGCTCATCCGTAAGCAGACCCCCCTTGGTGCCCAGATCGCCCGGCACAAGCGGGATCGCGTAAAAGGGCGGCGTCCGCACAGCCCCCAGGTTCGGGTTTGGCCGCACAGTCGGATCCCCAAAGTAATTGTCGAAGGCGCTCTCTCCGCGTGCAAAGTCGCTATCAACGCCGCAGTCAGCCATCTCATTGAACCTCGCCAGCGTACCCTGCAACCCCTCCTCATCCACCCCGATCTGCCGCGCCAGCTCCGCGATCGTCTCGGCGCGGTGGATATACCCCGCCTCCAGCGCCTGCGCAGGGGGCTGCTGCCGCGGCATCAGCGAGCCCACCGCGTACCGCTTGCGATGGTTCCAGTCGAAGACGAACCACGCTGGGACGGCCTTCTGCGCATATTGGTGGTGGCCGGCATCCGTGTACGGCTCAGCCTCGTTCATGAATCGCTTGCCGGACGAGTCAACAATAACACCAAACGGCCGCGCTCGCTCCTGCAGCGCAAAGTAATATATCCCCCGGACGGGGTCGCGCAGCGTCGGGCCCCACCATGCCTCGTCCATCAGGGCCGTTGCTGCCCCGACCCGCACACCCGCGACAATGGCATCCCCGTCGTCGCCCCGCGCGGCACTGGTCCACTCGGCGTTCGCAGGCGCCGGGCCATACCGCTCACGGAGCCCCTGGTTATGCGCGAAACCCCCAGCGCAGAGCAGCACCCCGCGACGAGCGCGGATGCTCCTTTCCCCATCTGGCGTCGCGACGCGCGCCCCGCGAATGGCCCCTTCAGGGGTAGCGATGAGCTGGCGCAGCGCCGTATCCGTGAGCACCGGACCCTGGCCAAGCTGCGTATGCAACCACAAGAGCTGCGCAACCAGCGACTTGCCCATCGTCACGGGGATCTGTCCCCGCACACGGGAAAGATATATGCTGCGGAGGAGCACGCGCAGCACGGTCCCGACATCACGCCACGACGCCCCCATGCGCGTCGCGCTGCTAGCTTCGTACGTGAATAACGGGACCGACCGGCCAGGCCGCTGCCGGATAGCCTCCGTCCATTTCTCGCCGAGCCCGAGTCGCCGGGCGTCGAACACGTCCGGCTCGATGGAGCGCCCGCCGGTCGGTAGTGCGCCGTGCGCGTGCGGATAGTAATCTGGACAGCCTGGGCTGAGGCGCCAGGCGAATCCGCGGTCCCGGAGGAAGGAGACCATGCGGGGGCCGTGGGCGAGAAAGGCGCGCTTGCGGGCGGGGGATGAGGCGCGGCGGACGTCGGTGTCTTCGGGGGTGTCCGCGTCGATGACAGATGTCAGGTACGTCATTGCCTGCTCTGGGGTGTCGGTTACACCGGCCTCCACGGCGAGCGGGTTATTAGGGATCCAGAGGCCGCCGCCGGAGTAGGCCGAGGTGCCGCCTATTTGGGCATCTTTCTCGATGACTAGGGACGAGAGCCCGTGGGAGTGGGCGCGTAGAGCGGCGGTGAGGCCTGCGGCGCCGCTGCCGACGATTAGGATGTCGGTTTCGTGGTCGAATCGATGGCAATTTGTCTGTGCTGTACTTAGATGGCGGGCGTGAGGCAGGATGGGAAGGTGGAAGTGGTTTGGTAGGGTTAGTCTGCGGAGTTGTCTTGCGGCCATTATGCTGTAGTATAATGCCAACAAACTATTTCTTATCATTTTTGAGACTCGTATCAGGTCATTTACTTATAATTTATATCGGATCTTTGATCTATGTTTTGAACCAACTTACTCGGCCAGTTGAGAAATACTCGGACGTCCAGCGGATGAATGAAAATTACAGTGGCTTGCACTCCTGGTTGTATGGATCTGAAATCAAATCAACCCAATTATACCCCCCGCTTTTGTTTTTGTTTTCGTTTACTTTCATTTGCTAGGCATCGCGGTGACAGTGTGAATAAAGGCGCTCGTCCTGGGCGCTCCGATTGATGTGTAACAGGCGACTCTATAACACTGGATCTCTCCCTGTGTGAAACAAGTTATTTTAATATATGAAGTGTCGTCTGACAGGGTTTGGAATACTTCCAAATCCCGGAGTTCGACCAGGAAGATCATGTTAAAAATTATCACATGGGCTAATGGCTGCCTTATCGTGACAGCAGTTGAAGGCTACAGAGTACATAAATCCATAAAGGTAATTCCCTAGGCTACAAATATTACAAGGTAGCATCATAGATCAGTCCAGAATGTTTTGAAAGGTATTTATAATCGTCTTCCTAGTTGGCGATATCTAAGCATCGCGACAAAAGCCACTAAAATCATAGATACATCCTGTACTGAGCACCTCCATTTCGCTCAATATGTTGTGTTCAGGGTTGATAGGCAGCGGCCAGCTCTTGCCATGTTATCCTTAAAGGCACAGGATAGTGTAAAGTCTTGCGAGCAATTAGTAGAGCCCCAGAAATAACCAGTATGAAAAGATTTAGCTTAACAAACCCTCCTGCGAAGAGGCCCATTGGTTATCTGAGTTAAAAATATAAACCTGACCACCTTTCAAGCGAATCATGAGCGAGACGTCGGCATTACACTCCTGGCAGAATTCACACATCTTCCAGAACAAGGTATCTCCTCGTCGTTTGTGCTGTTAAAGGATGATTCTTCGAACATCTGAGAATACCCTGGATCTTGTGTATCAGGTAATCAGACAGAAATTGCAGAAAACAGATACCCTATTATAATGTTCGGTATGCACAGGTACAGTTTTAGGCGCACGCAAGACAAATTTCTTCTTTACATATCAATGTTTATTCGAAGACGGCAGAGCAATAGACACAGACATGGGCTCATTGGATATCAGATCATTTTATCCTGGCTGAAAGACGACAACAAGTCGGGACTTTTATGTCGATGGCAATTTAATCATTCATGGCACCAAACTTGCTTTGATACTCCCACATGATTATGAGGCAAGATGCGCCGCTGCCATATATAGCACGCTGGTTATAGATCATGAATCTGGTCGGGTTACCTTTCTTGGATTAGAAGGGGCAGATGGGGAAGAATAGTCATACATGTATCACTGCTCTGGATTTGCTGTATTGGAGGAGAGAGTCTTCAGCCTCTTTGAACTTTCCTTGCCTATATCCATCGCTTCGCGCTTCATAAGTATGATCTAATTGCACGCGTCTGCACATGTAATTATATCACGGATCTTCCAACCCAACTTTGGCATACTGATCCATAAACTCATCAAAAAGCTTGTTAAGCCCAAGAAGATTCAAGGGATCTTTGTCATCTTCTTCACTCATGAAGCACAGCATATTGTGGATGTCAAAACCAATTGCCAACATATGTCCATATTCAGATTCTAGGAACACCTGGTCCGGGGTATCTGAGTCACCTGTTAGTTTGTTCCACTGGGTGGCGTACTCCTGGCAGAAGTGTCTCTTCTCCTCTTCTGTGTACTTTCTGCAATTTGCTATCCTGCTCCCCTCATCAAACCATTTGAACTTCTTCTGCATAAAATGCCCACCAATGTCAAACGCTCGATAGTTCTGCATCGCAAACTCGAAGTCAATCAAGGCAATTCTGCTCTCTCCCTCCTTCGGACCATTCTTCACCATCACATTCATGAATTGCATGTCATGGATACACCATCCTGTCTTTCCTCCTATGGAATCCAGCTTGTCCACCACATTTCGCACCCTTGTCCAAAAATCGTAGTTGACCAGGTTGTCCAGGCTGACACCTCCTTCTCTCCCAAGTACCTTCAGCTTGTCCATCTTGTGGTACTTCTTGAGACCGTTGATGATGGCTTCGTAGTATGGCTCCACGGCCGTTTTCTCCAGTGGCATCTTCAAAACATGGAACTTTGCCAGTGCTTTAGCAATATCCGCTCGGATGACCGTGTTCTCAACATCCTCCGGTTCCATGTTACGTGCATCGAGGAACTCATCGATTCTCCCGAGTGTGCCATCCTGTGTCTTGAAGAATCCATAAACTTCGGCTCCAAGGCCAGATCGGCCGTACTCGTAGCAAAAGAGCGCTTCCTCATGCTTGCTCGGTGCCAGATGCTTCAAAGTTTTGAGATCACACCCGGTGCCATTGTGAAGTTTGATGAACACCTTTAAGGGCTCAGCAGATGTGCCAGTAGCCCGCTTCGGTCGCTCCACGGAACAGTGGGCGTTGGCAAATGATGCATGGTACGACATGGTCAGGGTCTCTGGGTCCACAGATGGCCATTCTTCTGTCAGAAATGGGCTGATGATATCTCTGACGTTTCTTTTGGTGGGAACTTTGTCTTTGGGAAGAGTCACAGGCACAGTTGTCAATGTGACCATCTTGTTTTGATGTATAAAAGTGTGCTCAATAACCAGGCGAAGGTAAAGAGATACCTATAATAAAATATGTGTTAGCAGCGCAGCGCAATGATTCATTATATTCATAGTTTCCAAGTGTCTGCGCTACAGCTCAACTATAAGAATGATTGGTTCAGCACTGAACATTTTGGATTTGTGATCCACAGAAAGGGCGTCGGGGTCTCAAAATTATCTAGTGCCAAATCGGGAAACTTGGCCAGCTGTGCAGTCCAGACTGGAGTCATTTTCTGTTCGGTTTGGTACAATGACCGGTTGTCTAGCATGGATTATTTTGACATGATGAGACTTTCTGTTTGTTATATCAGAAGAGACTCAATATGCAATCCCCCCCGCGCGCAGAACGTATACGAAATATCCAACCTGACCGCAGACTGTCCACTGGCAACATGTACCCAAGACAAAGCCTCAATCCTCTTGCATACAGAAATTTGTTCCATGCTCTGTATCATTAGCCCCTCCTCAAACCCACCCTCTTCAATCTCAATTACCCGCTCAATCACTCTGGCAGCAGAGATGCTATCCCAAACCGCCTCCTGTGTCGGTTGCCCTCGCAGGATCCTCAAGACCTCACGTCGGACCATGGGATGTCGGCATTTGACCCCTATTATGTAAAGCAAGGGGATGATGCCTATCTCCGGTGTAAAAGTCGCCCTTGAAGACTCCGAAAACCGCTCATGCGCCGCTGCTAAGTCGCGCGCCAAGGCCACGCATTGCTGGAACTGGGGCAGAAAGTTGTCGTAGTCCATTTCTCTGCCAGGACCGCAACAACTGAGAAGAATGCATGCAACAGTATGTTGAAGGCGCAGCAGTGATACAAGTGGGTAAGTTTCAGAGCTTGTCTCATAGGATCTACCTTGTCGCAGTGTGTTTTTGAAGGAACTCTGCCACGTTTCCAACTGCCCAAATACGGTATCCTTGAGTGACAAAAGTGTCGGCGGCATCCTGTCCATTGGAGACATTTGCTGCACCGTGTGACGCAGTCTCATTACCTGTGCGACGACGGTCTGGAGGTGGTCGGCGGCTAGGTCGAGAGACAGAAAGGTACCATCAGGTGGAAGCTGCAACACGAATTTCTCTTGGATGTCGGCTGGAGTCCAATCGACCAGGAATGATACAGCCTGCATGTCGAGACGGCGGATCTGTCTTGTGACCTGGTAGATAAGCGTGCAAAACCCTGAGGGTTTGGGATCGTCATAAGTACTGTTGTTGTTTAGTATAGCTTTGTCGATGTTCCGTGAGAGTTCCACTCCTCCGCGCAGGTGCTTCACTGCTTGTACGTAATTGCCTGCCAGATGATCAAAGCAGGTGAAGAGATAGCAGACCAAAAGCGTGACGGCTGTTCTTTCGGTGCTGGTGCCATTTTCCTGGTCCAAAAGAAGGCGAATGGCCCGATTATAGTGAAACAGGGGACCATTATCCCGTAGCCAGTCTCTCGAAGATTGCGGTTGCTGCATACGGTCGCTAGAATCGCGATACAGGTAGTTTCGGTGGATCAAAGCCAGAGCAATGGCGGCATATCGCACCGATGGCACTGTTTGAGAGAAGAACATGAGAGTCTTACGCCATGATTCGCAGGGGCGATATTCATTCAGATGCTTGATCGAAATAGACTCGAAAAACCACATTGCCTCTGCCTGAGCTGACCCAGTCACTGGCAGGATCATAAAGGGTCCGAGATTCTGCCAAATGAGGCCATGGTATTTCGAGTACCACGTTTTGGGATGATACGCACTGATCGTGGTGCAAGGATGGTAACTGTTGCAGCTCTCCGCTCTGTCGGCCTTCTCGTTATGATAATGAGTTGATTGAATCTCGGTCTTCTCGTTCTTGAAAGCGACGGGCATTTCACGATAGCCGTCACAGGTGCGACCTGTGGACTGGCATTTCAAGCATGAAGGACGAGATAGATCGCATTTTATTCGTCTTATCCTGAGAGGTGCACCGAGGCTGAGTGTCATTTTCTGGATCACTAAACACGATTGATCGCTCTGTAGCAATACACGGAGTCAAGACTCACTTGCAAGTCTTACAGCCCAGTCTTGACTTTGGAGCGAACTTGCGAGGCTTCCTTCTCCAAGCTTGGCTGGCCGTCTTGGTGTTCTCCTTAATCTCATCCATCCCTTTGATGTCTGGACGAGGTTTGTGGTTCGCGCTGTTTTAAGTAGTGGGCACTCCCGGGTCCACCACAGTCGCTTCGAAAGGCAAACTACGTTGGGCCCCAATCGACGTCAGAAGGACTGTCTATTCGTCTGTTCGTATGCCCGCGAGGAAGACATCTCCCGCATCCTTTGTGATGGACACTTGAATGAGAAAAGACGGACAATCAAAAAAAGAAGGCTGGAAATCAATCAAATTGGCCAAAGATAAACCAACCGTGATAAATCATATATATACAGATTAGTGCATATCATCATCATTTTAATTGGCTAGTTCGTACAAGTGGGGCTCCATGGAAGAAAGTGCTCAATCATGGAGAAGATGGAATAGCGTCTGGAGTAAGTATAAACCAGCCAAAATAAACCCTGATAGAGATAGTCTGTATAAGCAGGGCGCCAAAGAACGCAGAGCTTCTACCTATTGAATTCCAGTGAGGAGGGAGTTCAGTACAGAGGTGTGATGGCTAGATATCTCTTTGTGGATCTCTGGATTATGCTATAATATACTCCGTAGTTCACATGGAGATAGTGAGATTCAGCAGTGAGTAAAGCCTCAGACTTACTTATACTCTGACAAGGGTAAGGGGTAAGAATTCCCGTCATTCTCGCATCCTCCATAGCGAAACCTGGTGGTAGGAAAATAGATATTGATTGGCTGGTTCGTAGAATCGGAGCATCCAGAGTGTGCCACAATAGGTGTTGTAAGTTGATGGGAATGCTACTGCCTGAAAAGTGTAGCAACTGAATGGAATAAAGTTCATTAACAAGTCACCTAAGAAATTCAACTTGGTATAAATAGTTCCCTGATGTCGCAACTGTGCTGGCTATAATTGTAGTTTCTTGCAAGCAATATAACAGAACGCGCAGGGAGAAACCTGTTGGGAATAACAATGACACAACTAGTGAATGCAGTGATCCTTTTCTTGAGCTTAGGATGCAATGCCCATATTTGGCATGAACCAGGCATGGTCTATGGATTTGAGAACGTGAGATTTCGCCGAACCACATACGTCAATCTAAGGTCTTAAAACTTTCTGACTAGCCATCTAGATTGAGCCATCAGCCAAACTCATGTGGACACCATGTTTCGATGACTTTACATGCTCTAAACTTCAGGTTCCTTTGGATTATTCAAACAGAAGTCTTGGCACAACGTCAGTCGCCTTCATAAAACTCGCTGGGAAGAATGCCACCGCCGAGTCTCCAAGCATTGTAATCAACCCCGGTAAGATCTCGAGATAAATCATACCAAGTTAGCTGAAATTTATAACTAGACTAACACATCGTCAGGGGGTCCAGGCGGTTCCGGTGTCGATCTCCTCCTCACATACCGTACTGTTGCAGGGCAAATGTTCGGAGAGCATTACAACTTCGTCTCCTTCGACCCTCGCGGTGTGAACAACAGTGATTTGAGATTCGACTGCTTCTCAGGGAAATCAGAAGCAAGATTGGCCTTCAGCCAATTGCACAGTACAGGCGCTACCAACATCTCATCAACCTCGCTTGAAGAACAGTACTATTCAAGCTCTATCTACGGAGAGTGGTGCAATGATGCTGTCGACAATAATTCACCTCATGGTTATTATGTGACCACACCGGCGGTCGCCCATGATTTGCTCACATTTATAGAAGCCGAGGCCGAGGTGGCCGGTCAGTCACCAGCAGACGCCAAATTGTGGTGTTATGGCATTAGTTACGGCACTGTCATCGGCAGCACTTTCGCTTCCGCGTTTCCTGACCGAGTTGGGAGAATGATACTAGATGGTGTTGTGAACGCAGAGCAATACTATAACAATGAATGGAGGGACAATGTGGATCAAATGGACGAGGCCATGGAAAGATTCTCGAGCTTCTGCCATTCCGCAGGTCCTGGGAAGTGTTCTTTCTGGGGACCCACGCCAGCTAACATCACGGCCAGACTGGACGGCATCATTCATCAGCTTCAGAACCATCCGGTGCCGGTAAGCGGAGTCCGAAGTCAAGTCCTACCGACACTGGCCACCTATTCAGATCTGAAGGCTCTCTTCCTCACCTCTATCTACGCCCCACTGAAGGAATTCCCTGTCATGGCCGACATCCTACACCAGCTTGAGTCTGGGAACATGTCTGCTCTTGCAGGCACCTTTGACGGATTGAATTCTATATCCGACGCCCGTCTAGCCATTCAGTGCGCCGATTCGTATCGAAGAAACAGGCTCACTACCATGGAAGAATTTAAGAGTTACGTCGAGTACACGATCTCCAAGAGCAAGTACATTGGTGATATTTATCCCATCTACCAAGACAATATCTTGTGTAGATCATTCAGACCAAATTTGCCTGATAGCATGGTCGTTCAAGGTAGGCATCTTCCTCTCTCTCTCTCCATGATTCTTATCTTGGGATACGGAAATATACATCGGATCCATTGGAGGCGGAATCTTACCAGTTTTTGCTTATGCAGGCCCAATACGAGCACTAGACAGGCCTACGTCCTTCCCAATCCTTCTTACGAGTAATACCATCGACCCTATAACGCCCTTGAAATCGTACGTTTCGGCCAACTTGTCTCGCCATCTGGTATGTCGTTAATTGACTTGACCTCTTCGCAGGGCGCGCAACATGTCTTCTCAGTTTGCCGGATTGGTACTCCTACTGCAAGAAGCTGTTGGTGTAAGTTGTTACCAAATCTCAATCATACAACCACCTCAAACAAGAATCTAGGCTTACTCGTGGGATGTGCCCCTCGAATGCAGCATACAGTCATTGAGCAGAGGGGGTCAGATTGTTACTTTCGACATGTTCAGGCATACCTTCAGGGCATAGTTCCATCGTCCAACATGACATGCCCGCAGCAGTACAAACCTTTCAGAGATGGCCCTGTTTAAATATTGTTCATATGTCGCGGAGGAGGGATTCGGCATTATGGACCTGGCGGTTCTATGTGTGGGACTAAGAGGCTGGATTCAAGGCCTGTCACTGTGTTTTGAAAAGGGGGCATTGATTTTCTAAATAGCTGGGGTTTTTCTATTAAACTACACCCTAAAGCCCACCATCTTATATCACATATAAGAAGTTCTGATTCTTTTCCAGGAGGATCGCCATCAATTAGTTCATTGAACAAGCAATGTAGCTAGCTCATACTCATCCATAATAGCCTTAAATTCGACAGCGATTCCAGTACTACCTTTGTTTCGAAGCAGGGCAGTTGACCTCGAAGGTGTGCTCGTTCTCGCTTGCCCGAGCGAAAGCACCGTCCTTAAAGGGGGTTGAGTCGACGGCAGTATTTGATGTTGAAGCCTTTCGTTGGAATGGCTCTGTTCTCGGCTTCCTCGCGCTCCTGAGACCAGGTTACAGTGATAGTTTGGCCTTCGACGGTCAGCTCCCGGGCCGCGAGGAGCTTGGGGAGCATTCCTGTGGCGATGAGGAGCTTGTCCTGGTTGTCTAGCACGATCCATTTGTATTATATGATTGTTATATACAATGATAGTGGATTACGCAAAATTTTTGTCAGGGCTGACACCATCTCATCTATTAGATATCTCCTGTTTATCTGATTCAGCAATCAGCATTTCAGGAGTCAGCAGCCTTCTTCGCCTCCCACTCATGCGCCAAAATGCCCATATGGAGTGCATCCCACCATCTCCCACCTTTCCACACACACTGCCTCTTCCGTCCCTCAGATACAAACCCAAGCTTTCGGTACACCTTTTGTGCCCTCTCGTTCCACTCAGAGACCATCAGCTCAACGCGGTGCAGGCCCGCAGTCGAGAAAGCCCAGTCCAGCATCCATGAGATAGCCTCAGTCCCATACCCCTTGTCTTGGTACTGGCGCGCAATAGTGATCGCTAACTCATGTGTGCGATTATGAGTGAAGGCAGGGGCTTGCCCTTTTAATGAAATCACACCAATTGTCTCAGGCACCTTGTCGGAGCCCTCGTCCGGGATGATACATATCATGACTGACATGAATGCACCAGCAAGCCTTGCTCGCAAGTCCTTCCGCTCCTTTGTGCTGAGCGGACGTATGAGGCCGGCAGTTGCCATAGATCTGACTAAGGGGTCGGCGTAGAGAGCTTGGAAGAATGAATCGTCTGCTGGGTTATCCTCTGGCGCACGATAAAGGAGACGCGCGGAGCGGTAGGGTTCAAATGGGAAGGGATCCATTGTGACCGTCCGGAGGAGCTGGTTGAAGGCTACTGGGCAAGTAGTGGAGGCTCGATATCTCGATTGTCATTCAACAGAGCAAGCGAGAATATTTACACAGTTTTGTCATCAGTGAGCTCTCGGACTCTGATCTCCGGGGAGCTAGTTTATTAGTGACTCATCAATAAATATGAACAAGGTCGCTAAGCGTATACGGAGTCAGGACTTGAATGGAGACGACATTTGTGGGCATGGTTCCACCTCACATGCAAAACTTACCCAATTCGGTACGCGTTGGTTGAGTCGAGTGCAGAATGTCGAATCATGAGACAGCCATAGGGCATCGGGGAACCAATCAGGCATATTGACCAAGAGCTAAAATCTTACTGCTCACTGGCTAGCTCTTTTCTATTTTTTACTTTAGGCTACAGTAAACGCCCTTTATAAGCAAGTCTGATATAAGGAAAACCTCGGATATAGCACTAATCTTGGTGTCTGAATTATTCCCATAATCAATTACTTAACACTCCAATGTATAGAAATTACTTCTGAAATTCATTTCTCCCATACAAAATTCCTTATAATAGGGTATTTTCCTATGTGTGTATCACTGCCTGGCAGCCTAGACCACTTTTAAGAGTATTTTCACCAGCTAATACAGGGTTACATAAGTGGTAAATTATGGCCATATCTACAGAGTACCTCTCGAAGGCTTTTATACAGTATCTTACATAGTATAAAGGGTGATTTTAGGGAGGAAACTCAAGGAATAGTATCTGAGTAATCTCTAGCAGTGCTTAGGTAGAGAAATATATATTTCCGGTGTTGGTTGCTAGGGAATCCAATATCAGGAAATTTCAATATAAGGAAGCAAAAGTAGCTGTCTCTAATAGTTGCTTATATCGGGGGTTTACTGTAGAATAAACGCCACCTCAACTTGCAAGAACATGGTCCAACTTATTCTTCATTTAGCGGGTGGATAGGAATAATTATTTCTATTAGAAGTTGGTATGATTGATGGTTTGGATATATTTCAAACTTTGATAATGATTATACTTTAAGAATGATTTTGGGTTCTTGCAGTCAAACTCACACCAAATCAGACTGGATTTGATTCGGTTCTGATCTCTAAAGTTTGAATTTAAGATCGCAAATGCGTTGGTGCCAGCTGATCCTAAACTCGCCTGAACTCAGACTGGCAAGAGGAGTAATTGCTGGCCGTCGGCTTGAGCTCGATCCGGGCTACAGCACTCTCACAGTGCGGCTCAGTACAATGAACATGGAGGATGACAGCAAGCATCTGGTTATTGCAGAGGACGGTGCGAACCCAGTAAAAGCTAGTGATGAGATTTGGTGGTTTAATGCTGACTAGTTTCTAGTTTTATTTCTAAACTTACCTGAACTGAGACTAAATGCAGCTATATTAGTGAGTACTCATCAAATAGTTGCTAGTGGTTTAACATCCAACTCCCTGGATCTACACTTGACCTGCCCAGTGCGGGTTCACAACCTAGAAACTAAACCTCACCACTATGAGTTCAGCGAGGGTTGGATTCGACACTAGTGGTTTGGTTATGCGACTCTACCAGAAGGCAAGAAATTAGATGGAATTTAGAGGACCATGATCCATAGAGGGTAAGAAATTAAGAGGATCTACAGATCTAGCTTTGTCCGTAAGGATAAATGATCAGTAGGAGCATAGTTTTTATCCCTGAAGGACTACCTAACCCATTAAAACCCTGGCCCTAAACTAGTTTCCAGTCCCATTTGAACCTTCGGGTCAATTGCAATCAATTCGCCCGGTCTGATCGCTCCTTTCGCCCGCCACCCGCCGCCAACAGACACTACTTCTGAGTATACTCAACTCAATATCCCGAGCAGCGTAAATACTCCATGGAATGGAAGCGCAAAGAACTGTAATTCTCTAGGCCCTGAAGCTCAATATAAAAAAATAGTCATCCTGCGATTCTCCCTCCCAGTATCAAGACGCGAAAATGCCCGCTCCAGCCAACATCCAGGCCGCCACACTGAACAAGTTCCTGGCTGCATGGCGGGAGGGAAGTGCGCCGGATACAATGGCTCTTTGGTCCGACGACTTCAAGCAACGATTACTGCCCCTCTCGCTGGGAGAAAGTTCGTTCCGGTCGCGCGATCAGGCCGCTTTGTTTTACCCCGGGCTCGTGGAGAATTTGAGGAATTGGGAGGTAAGATTCTGCTGTTGCTTGTATCGGAAGATTTCACCCACCTCCTTGCACCCGAACACTGGTAAGGGAACGGAAAAGCTCACAGCCCAGTAGCTTCATATCAAGGAAATTGTGCACGACCCTGATAGGGGCACAGCCGCGGTTTATGCGACTTCGCAAGCTGATACGCCCTTTCCGGGCGAGAAGTGGACCAACGAATACGCGATTTTTCTGTCTTTCTCTGAAGATGGGACCAAGGTTTGTAGACTGGAGGAAATGATGGACTCAGCCTTCTATCAAAGATTTGTTCCTAAGTTCCAGAAGTACTTGATGGGGCTTGGCGATTTGAAGAACTAGATTCTTCAGCTTTGTGTGCCGCGAGATGCTTGCTGTCCGAGGATCATGAAGAAACGATGCTAGAGGAATCTGTCCAATAAGCTTAGTCCATGTATGTATATCGGCATATAGGGGAATGGTCCCGCCAGAGCAATGGTCCAAGACTAGAACCTGGAATGGTCTCCCAATTGAGCATTGTAAACAAATATCCCATACTAATAGGCCTATATAGATACCCCATTCACGCCTCATGCGCGACATAACCCACTAGGCAACCTTGTCTCGTCTCCCAGCGCCAGAAAGATGTTCCCCAGAACCTACGCCGTCCTCGGCTCAACAGGCAACTGCGGCACAGCGCTCATTGAGAATTTGCTCAAGATGCCTGATGCTCGGATTCACGCCTACTGTCGCAACCGACCAAAGCTCCTGCAGATACTCCCTGACATCAAAGAATCAGACAGGGTTAGCATCTTCGAAGGCAACATCCAGGATGGCGAACTTCTACAGTCATGCCTGCGCAACTGCCATGCCGTCTTCCTTGTCGTCTCAACAAACGATAACATCCCCGGTTGCCATCTTGCACAGGCCACCGCCACTGCCGTAATCCAGGCGCTCCAGGATCTCAAACGCAACAACCCCACGTCCACCGTCATGCCTAAACTGGTGCTTCTTTCATCCGCTACGACCGACAGTCATCTCTCTCGTGACGTTCCATCACTCCTACGGTTCATCCTGCACCGGTCTGCGTCCTATGTCTACGAGGACTTAGTGGTTACGGAGAAGCTGCTCCATGCGCAGAAAGACTGGTTGACCAGTATATTCATTAAGCCGGGTGCCTTGTCGGTCGACATTCAGCGGGGTCATGCGCTGAGTCGGACGGACCAAGATGGCCCTCTGTCATACCTTGACTTAGCGGCCGCGATGATTGAGGCGGCCGACGAGGAGACGGGCTGTTACGACATGCAGAGTCTGGGCGTCGTTAATACAAATGGCAGGGCGAAGTTCCCGGCGGGTACCCCGTTGTGCATCCTGGTTGGTCTGCTGAGGCATTATTTTCCTTTTCTGCACCCGTACCTGCCGATGAACACGGGGCCGCGGTGAGATTACTATCCAATCGGATAATTCAGGAAGACTGGAACGCCGCGACGACAAAGGAACGGTCTGTTTCTCCCGAGCCTTGCGAGTGAGGACTTGGGTGCAAGTATATAAAAGAATAAAAACATACATTGCATTCATGATGATCCATCTGCCGGACTACGTATCTAATCTCGTCCATCATCCATATCCCTATAGCCATGCCTGCACCAGCTGAAGTCCAAGCGGCAACCCTGGAGAAATTTATCCAAGGATGGGCCGGATGGACCCCAGACGGTTTTCTCGCCAACTGGTCCGAAGATTGCACGCAGAAAACACTGCCTTTCAGCTCAGGGGTGCCAGTCCGCACCCGCCCAGACACCGAGCAGCTTTTTCCGGTTCTCATGTCCCTAATGTCCAATTTCACCGTAAGGAACGAAGCCTCTGTTGTCCAAAACCACCAGCTAATGCTAGATAACCCAGCTGGATATCCATAACGTTGTCCATGACGCACCGCAGGGCAAGGCCGTCATTTACGCCCTCACCAAGGCGGACACACCGTTTGGGCCGTATAGAAATGAGCATGCGCTCTTTCTATGGTTCAATGAAATCGGCGACCGGGTGCAGAAGATTGAAGAGATGTTTGATGCGGTGGTAATGAAGGAGTTTCTACCAAAACTGGACAAGTATGTGGCTGAAAACAAGATGCAGCTGGGAGCGAAGTTTAGTTAAATGATGCGTGCATTGAAGTACCATGGAGTGAGGTTGAACAACTTAGGTTTTGAATTCTGAATATGATTCCACACTTTGTATAACCAATCCGGACATGATTAGTGTAGTCCTAAAAGTAGTTTGATATACAGTATCCCGGCTAATATCTCAGTGACCTTTGTTATTGTGCAGGAATCTGGTATAAGATCGGGTCTAGCCTATCTCATTCACGCGAATCCACCGAGACGCCCGATTGTACTCCCTGTTCGCGCTGATCAGGACTTGCTTACGTTCAGTAAATCAATTCCCCGAGTGCCGCGTACTAGACCCAAGTCTACAAGAATTGAACGGCTTTTCAAATCATATAAAGCCAATCTTGTCAATGATCTGTCCTCTACCTGGCAGATCTACACTTACCTGCCATGATGGATTTCCAGATAATTTCCAGATTTACAGACGGCGCAGACTTCCAGTGGGCGAAGTTTGGAACCGCTGCCTTTCTAGCTGTCGTCCTCAGCGCCCTGGCCTTCCTTTCCTATACCCCCCGAGTTCACCAAAAGTCTCCTGCATTTACTTCTCACAAGTTACCGTTCATCGGCTCGTTGGGGTTCACGACCGAGCAATGGTGAGTAAAAGTCCTTTATGTAGATCGGCTGGCACTAACAGGAAGGCCAGGAATTGGTGGAAAAGTGCCACGGCCGAGTCGAAAACCGGCAACTTCAGCTTCTGGCTGGGGAAACGCCATGTGGTTGGAGTGACTGGCGAGGCTGCGCGCAAGATGTTCTTCACCCACGAGGCGTTGGACTTTGTCAGCGGCGCGCTGATCAGACCGATCAACATTCACTTCTGGCCTCCGATCCACGACATCTTCAGGCCAGACGTCAAAAGCAGCCGGAAAAATACTTACTTTCTCCGGCGCCTGTATGAGTTGCAGAGCACCGAGCAGCTCAATCACTATCTACCCCAGTTACTGAAGGATGCGCGAGTAGGGATGGCGGGCCTCTCCCGTGTGACGAAGCCATCCGTGTCTTGCTGGGAGACTGTCTTTACGCAGGACGTTCGCCTGCTATGCACCGATGAGATCATCGCTGATCCCAAGCTGCTCGCAACATTTGGTCGCCACGTGGAGACTCTTCTCTTTACGTTCAGCCATTACAATGTCTGTTTCCCCTGGCTGCCTTCGCCGTCGTACTACAAGCGCCGCTACGCGCGGTACGCCCTCTACAACCTCATGAAGGACATTGTGAACAAGCGACTGAAGAACGGTGCCCGGCGGCCGAACGACCCCGTCCAAATCCTGCTGGACTACAACGACAAATTGGACCACATCATTGAGTTCTTTATCACCGTGCTCTTCATCGCCCCGGCGAATTCCCGCATCATCGGCGGCCAGATGCTCAACATCATGTCCATTCACCGGGACTGGCAGGAAAAGGTCTATGCGGACATCAAGGCCGCGGCAGCGGCGCATTCACCGGACAAGAACGCGCCGCTCGTGGACCAGCTCGCCTCGATCCCCCTGCATGCCTGGGAAAACTCTTTCCCGTCGATCGACCTCTGCCTCCAGGAAACGATCCGCATGTGGACATCCTTCTCGATGGCCCGGTTGAACGTCTCACCTAACCCCATTCCAATCCCGGGAAGCGATGAGGTCATCCCGGCTAACACGTTTGTCTGCTATAACTCAACCGAAGTCAATTTCAGCGACACGCTGTACCCCGACCCGAAGAAATTCGACCCGGTACGGTTTCTGGACGGGCGAGAAGAATTCCGGAATGAGGCCTATGGATGTAAGTGACTGTCCCGCTTTTGGTCTTTGCGATAACCCGGTCTATAAAGCGATGCTGACGGATCGATCTGTAAGTCCTCGGTTGGGGCCGAGGGCGTCACCCTTGCCCAGGGATGCGCTGGGCGAAGCTGCAGCAAAATATTATTATTGCTTATGCCGTGGCCATGTACGATTGGAGTAGTTGCGATGAGACCGGGAAGCCTACTCCTCAGGCGGTGCATGTTAAGGAGTTGAATGCGGCGCGTGGGACTGTCTTACCATCTGCTTACTGCAAATTGGTTCCAAGGGAAAAGGTGTAGTTTCCGTGCCTCAGAGGACGATTTTTTGAGTATTATTAGGGTATTATGAAGAGGAGGGGAGGATAGTAGGTAAAACAACAGTTCATGGCTCCCAGTATGTTTAGATTGAATCATATGTTCCTGCACATTTCTGTCCTTTCCTGTATGAATGAGTATTTGTTTTCGAACACAGAACAGTAATAGAGGAGACAGTGCAATACCCTCCGTACCTACATACGTCTTACAAAAGTCTATTCAAACTAAACCACCAATCCAATTGTGAGGAACCTCCTATCTTGCAGAACCCTTCCCTTTAATCCAATCAGTTCGTCAACATCCCAGTTTGCCCAAAGATGCCGTCCATGCAAAAAGGAGCTCTCCGGCCCGGCCAGCCAAACGGCGAAATCCCCCGGCAGCGCCAGATCGTCCCATTTGTGCTCGTCCTTCGCAAAGTGTTGCGCCACGGCCGGCGTGTAGAATGCCCCAGGGTGAAACGAGAAGATTCGCACTGGGTTACGGTCCTGCTCCTGCTCCTGCTCCACGGCGAAATGCTGCAGAACCTGTGCGATAGCCGCCTTACTGGATCCATACCCGACCCGGCGCGTGGTGTGCACCTGCGCCGCGGCGGAGGAGATGTTGATGATCGTCTTCTGACCCGAGGCTGGAAGGGGCGTCTCAAGGTAAGCTTTTGTGAGGTTGAAGGCAGCGATGACATTGGTGTCGAACGCGTCACGGAGCTCTTGTTCGGTGATGACCGTTGCCTTCTCGCGTCGGTGGACGACCGCGACGCCGAGAACCAAGACGTCGACGGGGCCTAGCTCGTGCAGGATTTCGGTCATCCGGACACTATCTGTGACAGACGCCTGGAAGAGTACCACCCGGACGGACGGATAGGCAGCTTCGAGGGCGGCTTTGGCTTGTTCCTGCGGAGCGGCAGACCGCGAGACGATGGCGATGCAGGCGACGCCGGCTGCGGCAAAGGCCTTGGCGATGCTGAAGCCGACGCCGCTTGCGCCGCCTGTTATGAGTATCACCTTGCCTTGACCGTCAAAGCCGTGGTGCTTGGCAATACGATCGTAGGTTTCGGAGTGGTATATCTTAGTTGGGCGGGGCTGGGCTTCGAATAGAGACATCTTGTCGTGTATGGTTGTCCTTGTTGATGAGAAACA